AAGTATTCTCGGGCCTTTTCGTATTTGCCAAGCGACTGAAACACTGTTCCGAGGTTCTGGTAGCTTGTTACCTCTCCATTTCTGTCGCCAATGTCTATTTGGATAGCGAGAGCTTTCTTCAAGTATTCTCGGGCCTTGTCGTATTTGCTAAGCGATACGAACAGTGCTCCGAGGTTCACGTAGCTTGTGGCCTCTCCATTTCTGTCGCCAATGTCTATTTGGATAGTGAGAGCTTTCTTCAAGCATTCTCGGGCCTTGTCGTATTTGCCAAGCAACCGAAACACTGTTCCGAGATTCACGTAGCTTGTGGCCTCTTCATTTCTGTCGCCAATGTCTATTTGGATAGCGAGCGCTTTCTCCAGGTATTCTTGGGCCTTGTCGTATTTGCTAAGCGATATGAACAGTGCTCCGGGGTTCGAGTAGCTTGTTGCCTCTCCATATCTGTCGCCAACTTCTATTTGGATAGCGAGGGCTTTCTCCAGGTATTCTCGGGCCTTGTCGTATTTGCCAAGCGACTGGAACACTGTTCCGAGGTTCTGGTAGCTTGTTGCCTCTCCATTTCTGTCGCCAATTTCTATTTTGATAGCAAGAGCTTTCTCCAGGTATTCCTGAGCCTTGTAATATTTCCCAAGCGATTTGAACAGTGTTCCGAGGTTCCCACAGCTTGCTGCCTCTCCAATTCTGTCGCCAATGTCTATTTGGATAGCCAGAGCTTTCTCCAAGTATTCTCGGGCCTTGTCGTATTTGTAAAGCGATATGAACAGTGTTCCGAGGTTATTGTAGCTTTTTGCCTCTCCATTTCTGTTGCCAATTTCTATTTGGATAGCAAGAGCTTTCTCCAAGTATTCTCGGGCCTTGTCGTATTTGCTAAGCGACCGAAACACTGTTCCGAGGTTCACGTAGCTTGTGGCCTCTCCATTTCTGTCGCCAATGTCTATTTGGATAGCGAGAGCTTTCTCCAGGTATTCTCGGGCCTTGTCGTATTTGCTAAGCGATACGAACATTGCTCCGAGGTTCGAGTAGCTTGTTGCCTCTCCATGTCTGTCGCCAACTTCTATTTGGATAGCGAGAGCTTTCTCCAAGTATTCTCGGGCCTTGTCGTATTTGCTAAGCGATATGAACAGTGCTCCGAGGTTCACGTAGCTTGTGGCCTCTCCAGTTCTGTCGCCAATGTCTATTTGGATAGCGAGAGCTTTCTTTAAGTATTCTCGGGCCTTGCCGTATTTGCTAAGCGATATGAACAGTTGTCCAAGGTTGGAGTAGTTTGCTGCCTCCCCATATCTGTCGCCAATTTCTATTTGGATAACAAGAGCTTTCGCTAAGTATTCTCGGGCCTTGGCGAATTTGCCAAGTGACTGGAACACTGTTCCGAGGCTATGGTAGCTTGTTGCCTCTCCATTTCTGTTGCCAATTTCTATTTGGATAGCAAGAGCTTTCTCCAGGTATTCTCGGGCCTTGTCGTATTTGCCAAGCGACTGGAACACTGTTCCGAGGCTCTGGTAGCTTGTTGCCTCTCCATTTCTGTTGCCAATTTCTATTTGGATAGCGAGAGCTTTCTCCAGGTATTCTTGGGCCTTGTCGTATTTGCCAAGCGATATGAACGCTGTTCCGAGGCTCTGGTAGCTTGTTGCCTCTCCATGTCTGTTGCCAATTTCTATTTGGATAGCGAGAGCTTTCTCCAGGTATTCCTGAGCCTTGTCGTATTTGCCAAGCAACCCGAATACTGTTTCGAGGTTCCCATAGATTGTTGCCTCTCCATGTCTGTCGCCAATTTCTATTGGAATAGCGAAAGCTTTCTCCAGGTATTCTTGGGCCTTGTCTAATTTGCCAAGCGATGTGAACAGTGCTCCGAGGTTCGCGCAGCTTGTTGACTCTCCATTTCTGTCGCTAATTTCTATTTGGATAGCGAGAGCTTTCTCCAGGTATTCTCGGGATTTGTCGTATTTGCAAAGCGACAGGAACACTCTTCCGAGGCTCTGGTAGCTTGTTGCCTCTCCATTTCTGTCGCCAATTTCTATTTGGATAGCGAGAGCTTTCTCCAGGTATTCGCGGGCCTTGTCGTAATTGCTAAGCGATATGAACAGTGCTCCGAGATTCGTGTAGCTTGTTGCCTCTCCATGTCTGTCGCCAACTTCTATTTGGATAGCGAGAGCTTTCTCCAGGTATTCGCGGGCCTTGTCATATTTGCCAAGCGACATGAACAGTATTCCAATGTCCGTGTAGCTTGTTGCCTCTCCACGTCTGTCGCCAATTTTTATTTGGATAGCGAGTGCTATCTCCAAATATTCTTTCCCTTTATTATATTCTCCTAAGAAACACAGAAGCACTCCTAGTCTTCTATAATATTCCGCTTCTTTTTGTCTGTTTTCGGTTATTTTCATTACATTTATTGCTGATTCATAAAATTTCTTTTCCTCTTCAGGGTGAAGTAAAAGTTCCCTGAGGTATTCTTCAATACCTGGTGAATTGCATAGAGTGAGCCACGCCCTTTTCACTGTGGTGCGGATGCGTTCGTCAAATGACTTGGCAACTGGACTGTCCGCGGTTAAATCACCATTGTTCAGTAAAATCAAGCTTTCTTGGCACAGCTCGATGGCTTTCAAGGCCAAACCATTGTTGAGAAGGAAAATGGCGACAGTTACACCTATTTTGATAGCTAACGTGGTGAATTCCTCTTCTGTGTTTTTCATATCGCCTTGATCACTGTAAGTTTGGAAAAAAAAATGTAGATCAGGCATATGACACTCGAAAGTTCCTGTACAAGGGTTCATGGATGCGAACTTTTTCAGGAATCTTGGTTTTCTCATCTCGACGGAGGTCCTACCCTGTATTGAAATGAAGCGTTTACGAGACTGGAACCAGTATGAGTGTGATTGCACTTCCTGCTTCATCTCACAAAAATCTGTTTTTTTTTTTAATGATTGCGCCGTTCGTGTTAGAACGTTTTGCTGGAATGAAGTAGGGGTAACTGAATTTAAATGGTTGAAACCAAGTTTTTTTTGTTACTCCATATATAGCCTAAAACATTTGGTACATAGGGTTCCTTATCCTAACCTTTTTAGTTTCCACTTCGGTATTTGTCAAATTTTGTTAAATCACTCGATGTGTAGTTACAGATCTAATTGGATTCTTCTTCGACTCTTTTCATTTCTTTTCATCAGGAATCCTCGTGTACTTATGTAATAAATCCAATTTTGTGTTTTGTGTGTGTGTGTGTTGTACAAAGAAACACACCAAGAAAATTTATTACCGTTTGTTCCACTGAGGTATTCATAACACTGTCACGCACATCATTGAGATGCTCATTACGATGTCACATAAATCATTGAACTTATTGTTTGAAGTTAGACATGTTCCGTGTTCATTTTGATTCAAGCGAGGGTACCTGAATGAAATTTATCCCTGGAAAAATGAAAAACCTTTGTCACATACTCTTGTTCACAGTTTTCATTTTCCTTCAAATTACCACAAACTGGAACTACAAGCGGTAGATACTGGGGGAGAGGGAGGGGGAGGGGGAGGGTGGGGGGGGGGGGGGGCCCAAGGGGTCAATCAGTTGCATTTCCTGCCCCACATTTTATGATTGTAAAACATTCAGTCAGTCATAACTTATATATACCCTACCGTTTAAAGACAGAAACTTCAATAGTGCTGTGATCGATCTTGTGATGAACATCCAACCGTTAAAACGCAATGAACACTAGGGGCTGACGTTTCCTGTAAAACAAAGTAAAAAGTTTCATTTGCATGCTCATATCCATCAATGTTTATCTAAGTTCAACTAACAAAACCGAAATACAAATACCTAAACCGAAGCACTTGAAGCTCAGAGTAACCTACTGAACTTTTCTTTTCCACCTTCCACCAAGATGAAAACTTTCGAGGGTAACATTTACTAAAATAATCGTCTTGGCAGAAACTCACACTAACAACTTCATCTGTTTAGCTTATATAGTAAATTATATAATGTCTTTGTTATTAATGATGCAAATCACACTCATTAGAAAATGAAAAGTTCACCAGTAAAGAGTCGATCCCCACACCCAAACACTGGAAAATACCCTATTTAACTGAACTGTGATCGATCTCGTGATGAAAATCCAACCGTTTAAGAGCAATGAACACGTAAGGGCTGACGATCCTTGTACTGAACAAGTACAATTTTTTCCTTTTTGCATGCTCAAATACATCATTGTTTATAAAATTCAAAACCGAAACACAAGTAATTTAAGGGGAACAATTAATATTCGGGGTAAATTGCTCAGCGTCTTTCTGTATTTTCCACTTATGAATTAGGAAAAAAGTAGATGAATT